ACTCATCGGGAGGGGAAAGGAGGCAAAGGGGGGGACACTGCAGGGGTGTTCTCATACTCACGGCTCAGTTATCCAACATGATTAACACTGTTAGAGCCATTGAACGTGATTTTTTCCAAAGTTTGAGCTTTAAATATGAGTAAAACTAAGAAATAAAGACAAAAGAAAAAAAAAAAAGAGGCGGCGGTGAACAAAGCAGCCACATGGAGCCTTCAATAACACCTCATCCCCTCTGCACACAGCTGGGTTACACCTCTGGGCACCTACAGTGTTTGGTTCAATGGTCAGTGAGATGCAGAAACTGCATGCGTGCTATTATCTGCACAATGTGTATTTTCTCAGATTTTCAGTTTCAAATTTCCAGACTGTCTTATTTAATCCACTTAACGTACATAATTCACTCACTTTCTGCATATAATGCTACTTACTGCACATAGTGTCCTCCTGTTTAAATCCACTTAATGTATCGTGTGTCAGGATACATTTGACTGCGTGTCGCACTTGTATAACTATGCATGTGACATAAATAATCTTGGTCATGACCTCTATTACCAGTCACTCCCCCTGTCTTTGCAGACCGAACTCATCAATACAAGACACACCGTCTGTCCTGCTCCAGATTCATAACAGCAGTTTGTTTCTGCAGTACTCTCGTATCACAGCAAAAAGGTTGTGGGTTCAAACCCATGTGGAGTTCTGAATGTTTCTTCTGCCGTTACAAAAAGCAAACATGCTGGGTTGGGTTGTTTTCTCTCTTACATCATCGCAGCACTCAGAGCGGCTGGAGCTCCAGTTTCCTTCATTGCTCTGTTTTTGTGATTTTGGTGCTTAAAGGACTCGAGCACTCCTGTGGATTCTACATCAGTGAACTCACTGCTCACTCTTCTGCTGGTTAAGCGATCAGAGCTTTGGAAGCTGCTGTCTTTCCTCTATAAACCCTCAGACCCAGAGGTCAGTCTGTGCTGCCCTCTGCTGGACGCTGAGAGGAACTGAGTCAGCTCAAAGGCTGCAGGTGCACACGTGTGACTCAGCACAGTGAAAACAAACAGTGGACACACAGCTGTCTTCAAAGGTTAGGAAGGAAACACGTGGAGGAGGAGGAGGAGGAAGGCTACCTGGAATGAGCTTCCTGCGAGCCATCGCTGCAGCTTTGTGGGACTCGTACTCCACAAAGGCAAAACCTCGATTTCTGTTCTTATCTGTGGTGCTCGGGTACACGATCGCATCCACCACGCCGTCCGTCACCTGGACACATAGACGCAGAGGGGGAGGAGCAGAAACTGAGATCTGAGAGACACACATTGCTTCAGAGAAGACAGCAAACAGTAATACAGGACGAGTGAAAGGAATCATCTGATTTTAAAGTGCCTTAACTTTTCCTGTTAGAAAGCTTTTTAAAACATAATATATATATATTATGTTTTAAAATCATGAAATTCACAAACCAGCTCCATAAAAGTAGAACAGGAGGCGTCCTGCACAGATGTGACTCCCATCAAAAACCCACAGTGTCAAACTAACAGACGGCCAGTGGGCTGCTCTGCTCTCTTTTAACATGACATTTACAAACAAATATCTATAGGGGAGCCATCTTTCTACTGAATATTTTCAGCTATTTTTTCAGGTTTTTCATCAAAGACGGAGAGGAGGAGGAGCAGGTGGAGGAAGCTGCCGAGCAGCAGATCAATCATTACTGAATTAAACAGCAGCTGTGCAGAGAGCGGACAGCTGAGCCTCAAACTGAGAGGTGACAGCGAAACTCTGCAAAGAAGCGAAGCTTCCACAGTGAGGACACATTAAAGCTGCAGAGCAGGACAGACTGAATCTGAAATGATCCATCTGCTACCTGTAAGACTTTAACTTAGACCATCTTCTTCCTCTTACAGCGGTCTGACCCTCCTGCATTTCCATTAGCAGTGATGTGGAATAAGTTTGGACCCAAAGATGCTGGTCTCACGTATGGAAAACAGGAACTGTGGGTCAGTGAGTGAGTCTGTTTTACCTTCTTCATCTCCTCGATGATCTCGTCCTTCCTCTTATCTTTGGGGATGGAGCCGATGAAGAGGCGGCAGTTGTCCAGACTCACGCACACGCCGATGAACTTCCCCGGGCGCACCTCGTAGTTGTCCAGCATCTGGATGGCTCTCTGCGCTGCTTCTCTGGAGCACAGAAACACTCGTTTTTAAGCTCCTTGCACAGGTTTCACTTCACTGGACTGCTTTTACCAATAAGAAAAAATAAATGAACATATACTGAGTGTGACGTGACTCAAAATGCCTGTCCTACACATATAAACATGGTTGGGCCCCATATAGTAACGTTATCTGCATCCACCTGAAAAACAAACGCAAGAGTCAAAGAAAACTGAAGAAGACGAGCGACCTGTCGGTGTACATGACGAAGGCGTAGCCGCGGTTCTCTCCGCTGAACTCCATCATCAGTCTGAACTCGTAGATCCTCCCGGCTTTCTCGAACAGCGGCACCAGGTCATCCTCGTACATGTCTCTGGGAATCTTCCCAACGAACACCTCACAACCCCGCGGGGGGGCGGGACCCTCCCAGCCTGTACCACAGACACAGCGTCAGCTGATCAAAGCCTTCATATTCATAAACATTTCTATCACTTATTTGATCAGATTAGGAGGTATTTCTGGGATTTCTACTGGGATTTTCGACTTTTTAATTAGGAGCTTAAGTAAAAATATTATTATTATTATTAAAATATGTGGAGTGGAACAGATGCTGCTGCAGGTATTTTTGACAGCTGTGCAGATTACAGCAAATCTGATAAACTGAAAGCAGCATAAATTTAAAAAATTAATGCATGACTTACAAAAAAAAAAAGTTTATGTAACAAAACCATATAATTTTTTTTAATTTAATAATTGAAATATATTGAAATACTAAAATTAAAACTTAAATAAGATATATTAAAATCAGTAAACTAAAGTGTCAAAATAAAATTTAGAATATATAAATAATAATTTATTATTGAATTAACTTTTTAATTAAAACAATAATTCACATTTGTAAAAGTAAAGAAAATTAAATGTGCAAAAATAAATTATTTGAAACTCATTAAAGCAAAATGAATATATAAAAGACTTATTTATCTGTAAGTTAAACGAGTACTGTATACTAAAAATAAAATCACCAAATCAAAAGAACAGGATGCAAAATATTTCAGTTTTACACAAATACAATGAACTGTAATAAAGAACAATATCATCAGTTATTTAAAAAAAGCGCAAATAATTAAAATTAGTGAATTCAAATGTATTCCTTAATAAAAAATAAAATAGTTTTAATGAAAACAAAGTCCACAGTGTCCCCTCTGATCTCTGCTTCACATCTAACCAGGGAGCCACCTTGGTACCTGCCCCTCTCATACACATCTGTTGACACAAATGGGACTCCACAGCTACCCCGGGGCTGTTGTTTGTTTCTTTTACTTGTGTCGCAGGTTGACATACCTGGAGGTGGACCTCCGTACTTCCTCTGCCCGTTCTCCTGCACCATGTTGTAGCCCGTCTTATCGATCAGGGACAGCAGAGCCATCTCTTTAGCACAGATCACCTTTAAGTCCTCCTCCATCACCAGCGGCCTCGCCTCTTCACCCGAGTCCGAGTCAACGTCTCCCTCCCTGGGATCCTCTGTCCGACAAACAGCTGGGTTACCTGCCAGCTCAGGTGAGACTGCAACACTCATAAATTGAACCCGAGGATGATGTGAACTTTTAGTGTCTTATAATTGATTT